AAACCCATTTTGGTGTCAATGGAAAAGTTGTAGAGAATCAAAAATCAAGATTATATCCAAATTTTCAGAACGATTCAAAAACTGGTTTTCAAGAAATGCGAAATTTACGAATTTTCACAAAACTTGCATTTTAAGCGAAACTACTTTGTGAGTTTTGCCGATTGGCGGTCGTTGAGAACAGCTTCTGAACGTACACTTTCTGGCCTTTCTTTTGGCACCTACCTCATATTGTAACTCGCGGGTAGCTTTGGAAGGTTCCCTTGTTAGACTGTACAACATAAAAATCGACTGTAAACAAGAAATAAACCCGAATTTCATAAACTTTCTTCCAAAACACAAGAAGACACAAAAAAATGAGTCATTTCCGCGTGAACAGTTTTCATTTCAGCGCTTTTTTTTCATTTCAACAGATTGTGAGTCATTTTTGGGATGGGAATTGTCATTTTTATATTGAAATAAATAAAAAGAACTTTTTGAAAAGATTCTGAAAGCTTTAAGTATTCAAAATTGATACTTAGTTAACTTTTTATTGAGTTGAACTTTGTACTCGAGCCTGTAAACGTGAGGCCTAGCCTGTAAACGTGAGCTCGAACCCGTAAACATGAGCTCGAGCCTGTAAACGGCAGCTCGAGCCTGTAAACATGAGCGCGAGCCTGTAAACGTGTAAACGTGAGCTCAAAGTAAACTTTAAGCTTAAAATTCAAAGTGTGCAGTCTATTAAGCTGACTATCCATAGTTCCCGCTTCAATTAGAGGCTTCAGAAGCTGAATTTGCTTCAGAATTTGCTTCAGAGGTTTATGCAAATACTACTTACTTTAAAATAAAGTTCTAAATGAAAGCTTTCGTCTTAAATGAAAGCTTCCGTCTTAAATGAAAGCCTTCGTCTTAAATGAAAGCTTTTGTCTTAAATCAAAGCTTCCTTTCTAAATCAAAACTTTCAAAACTCTAAATCAAAGCTTTCTTCTTCAGTTTTCAAATCGAAATTGGAGAAATCGAAACGCTAAATTTGGATAAGCAAATAAATATATGGTTGAGATGGGATGAAAGCCGTAAATGAAGGGGTATTGAACAGAAAATTGTGAAAGAGACGAAATGAACGAATGAACGAATGAATGGGGAAATGGAAAAAGAAAAGAAAAGAGAGAAAATGAAGAAAAATGGATGAATATCATTGAATATCATTGAGAGCTTTGGCGAAAGAACCTTTTCTTTTTCCCCTTTATCAACCAGTATTTGAATGGTTGTTTGGGTTCTCTTCTTTGGGTTTGACCCACTCCAGCATTCGATTTCAGCTCCTAATTCTATTAAATTACGATTCTTTTGTGTGTAACAGGATTTGAAATCAAGATAGCCTAGATCCAAAGCTAAATAAGTCAATATTTTTGACTGGATCTGACTTAGAGCATCATTCTCAGACAGAATGATCAGAAATAACCCGGAAAAACCTTTTTGATTCGATCTTTTTTCGATCTTTCGATCGAGAACTAAATAAAAATACTTTGTAAACTTTGTAATAATTGTTAATTGCAAAAGATTTTGATTCTAGGCCTTTTGTAAGTTCTAGGCGTTGAAAGAAACAGCTCCGGTGCTGCTCCTTTTGCACAAACGCGGTTTTGAAGATTTTAAAGTGCAAAGATTTTAAATAAAATAACAAATTGTTGACTCTGAATAGCCAAATTTGAACTTATTTTTATGTAAGACCATTTTTGTCATCAGAAATCTTTCTAAAAACGATTTTCTAATGGGAATAGGAATGGGAATAGACTGGGCTTGTAATCATCTTTCATAAGTCCACTTGTAATCATCTTTCATTTGTTTAAAGTAAAAAATTTTGTTGCTACGTTGAGAAGAAAGTTTACAACACAGCTAATACTTCGGTAAATATTTTGAGCTGGATTTCGGGAGGCTAAGATTTCGGGCTGGATTTCGGGTGGCTAAGATTTCGGGCTGGATTTCGGCGGCTAAGATTTCGGACTGGATTTCGGGCGGCTAATATCTCGAGATGGATTTCGGCGGCTAAGATTTCGGGCTGGATTTCGGGAGGCTAACATTTCCGGCTGAATTTCGGACGGCTAAGATTTCGGGCTGGATTTCGGGAAGCTAACATTTCCAGCTGGACTTCGGGAGGCTAACATTTCCGGCTGAATTTCGGCGGCTAAGATTTCCGGCTGGATTTCGGGAGGCTAAGATTTCCGGCTGGATTTCGGGAGGCTAAGATTTCCGGCTGGATTTCGGGAGGCTAAGATTTCCGGCTGGATTTCGGGTGGCTAAGATTTCGGGCTGGATTTCGGCGGCTAAGATTTCGGACTGGATTTCGGGCGGCTAATATCTCGAGATGGATTTCGGCGGCTAAGATTTCGGGCTGGATTTCGGGAGGCTAACATTTCCGGCTGAATTTCGGACGGCTAAGATTTCCGGCTGGATTTCGGGAGGCTAAGATTTCCGGCTGGATTTCGGGAGGCTAAGATTTCCGGCTGGATTTCGGGAGGCTAAGATTTCCGGCTGGATTTCGGGAGGCTAAGATTTCCAGCTGGATTTCGGGAGGCTAACATTTCCGGCTGAATTTCGGACGGCTAAGATTTCCGGCTGGATTTCGGGTGGCTAAGATTTCGGGCTGGATTTCGGCGGCTAAGATTTCGGGCTGGATTTCGGGAGGCTAACATTTCCCGCTGAATTTCGGCGGCTAAGATTTCCGGCTGGATTTCGGGAGGCTAAGATTTCCAGCTGGATTTCGGGCTGCTAACATCTCGGGCTGGATTTTGGTCGGCTAAGATTTCCGGCTGGATTTCGGGTGGCTAAGATTTCAGGCTGAATCTACCTTCTATTCAATTCTATTCAATACAATTTTTAGTAATGCTTGACTATTTAATCCATTAAATGAAAGGATCAATTCAGAAAAGATCAAATAAGAGAAAAGTAAAAGAAAAATAAAGAAAAGTAAAGAAAAGTAAAGAAAAATAAACTCAAAACTGAAACTGAAACTGAAAGAAGGCGAAAACAGTGGAATGAGTCAGTGGAAAGATAGGGAAATGTTGTCGAAATATGTTTTTGTCTGGGGTTTACACGGGCGTTGCTTTGTGTTGAAATGTCCTCTTTTCTCTCTTTTCCCTTTCCCCCAAAAATCCCCATTGACCTATTTTCTACTCACTCACAATACTCAGAGAGTAATCTATTGTTAGCCACATTGCCTAGAAACTTGACACTTGCACTAACATTTGAATTTGAATAAAACACTCGTTTTCAGGCTTTAAAAAAAAAACTTTAAAACATTGGTACTTTGGTATTTAAAAAATTCAACAATAAAGCTTTCCAGGATTTCGATTTTTGTACCAAAGTCTGGTCAAATCATGAAGAAAGGCAATCTGACTGGGCCTTGTCTAAATTGGCTTAACTTTGAAACAAGCTTAACCTATACTTTTACAGTATCGCCCTCAAGTGTGCCCATTGTCAGAGGCAAACTACGTTTTTTTTTGCGTTCTTCTCGCCACTCACTTCACTTCAGCGATTTGGTCACACTTGATTTCATTCAATAGATATTAATCATTCAAAAGGCTATCAAATGGAACCAATTGTAACCAAATCGGTCAAGTGAGTGTTTTTTTTCGAGAAAACGAGATGTTCCATGGAGCAGTTCCATGGGGCAGTTCCATGGGGCAGTTCCATGGGGCAATTCCGTGGAGCAGTCCCATGGGGCATTTCATGGGGCAGTTCCATGGGGCAGTTCCATGGAGCAGCTCCATGGGGCAGTTCCATGGAGCAGTTCCATGGAGCAGTTCCATGGAGCAGTTCCATGGAGCAGTTCCATGGAGCAGTTCCATGGAGCAGTTCCCATGGAGCAGTTCCATGGAGCAGTTCCATGGAGCAGTTCCATGGAGCAGTTCCATGGAGCAGTTCCATGGAGCAGTTCCATGGGCAGTTCCATGGAGCAGTTCCATGGAGCAGTTCCATGGGGCAAATTTAGAGAGATAAAGGAACCAAATTTGTTGAGATAAAAGCCAAATTTAGAGAGCTCAGAACCAAATTTAAAGAGATAAGGAACCAAATTTAGAGGAGTTAACGAACCAAATTTGTTGAGATAAGAACCAAATTTAGAGAAATAAGGATTTTCTTGGGGCCCCCGATTTTCTCAGGATTGATGTTTTGTCGCTCGATCCAGCCTCCAGAATTGGTCAATAGTCATAGGAAATGCCTTACTTTGAAATGTGATATTGACAGTGAGAAAAGCTAATAGTAAGCATAATAAAGCTTTTAAAAATGGTTTTGGACTTTTAAAAATGGTCTTTAAAAAGAATTGAATTGAATTGAAATAAAAGCCGTAAACGAAGTGGGCATGCTAAATAAAGTTTGAGTTGGTAAAAGATCGATAAACAATGGAAATGATCGGATGGATCAATGCAACGGATGAATGGAAAAAAAAGAAGAGAAATCTCCAACGACAACCATATTTTCATATTCATCCCTGATTTCATCCATGAAAATCCCCAGGAAATCCTTTTCGATTTTGGGATTGTGCTAGGCTTTTTAGCATGAAATTCACTGGCACGAAATGGCTTTATGCTGACTTTATGCTTTGACTTACAATCAGCTTGTTTACGTTTACTTTCAATGTCAAAACTATTGTATTTACTTAAGAACTTATTTACTGTTTACTATTTTCTGTTTACTATTTACTTATTACTTATTTACTTATTACCTATTTAGTTACTACTTATTTAGTTACTACTTTTTTACTTATTACTTACCGTATTTTCTCTAACAGTAGTGCACCCCGAGCCGAGTTGATGACTATTTACGGCTTCCAAAGTTTTCCCAGAAGCTCAACACTCAAATCCCCCACTAGATCTCATCGTCAGCTACATTTTCCGACCCCACATCGATAGGTTCTGATAAGCGGTTCTCGAGATTTCGAGCAATTTAGGCGACGCTCTGGGTGCAGCACCACCGCAAGCATCACAGCTCCTCTTCATCCGACTCTGATTCCTCATCATCGTCATCTGAAGATGACAGCCATGGAGGCAGACACAAGAGAGCCTGAGGCAGACACAAGAGATCGCCTGGAGGTGGAGATGACCAAGGACATGGCGGACATGGAAGGTGAGAACTTTATCTCCAGCTTAAACCATACTTTTTATAAGCTATTTGAACTTGAAGAAAAAGTTTCATATCACTGGCAATTCAAATGGAAATGATACCATGGAAAAGCTTGATATCACTGGCAATTCAAAGCAACTTTCAGAGATGGAGGACACGGAGAAGACGATCAAGGACATGGCGGACATGGAGGGTGAGAACTTTGGCTCTAGCTTAAACCATACTTTTCATGAGCTGTTTGAACTAGAAGGAAAAGCTTGATATCACTGGCAATTCAAAGCAACTTTCAGAGATGGAGGGTGGGTGCTAGCAAGTTTTTCTTTTCAACTAGCGGCTACCGTAGCTCAGAAAGTTCACTAGTTCTTTTTTGATCCTTGGACTTTAAAAATATAGAATACTGTGGAATAAGTACAGTAGCTTCGACTTGCAAAGATGACGATGACCATCACGGAGGACATGGTAAGGGACACCACAAACACCGAAACAATCGCCATCAATCGCCACAATGGGCCAGAAAAAAGAGATGGAACGTGGGTGGAGAATATTTTGATTCTGAGCTGTAGCCACTTGGATTTAGTACTCTTACATTTTGCTAAAGAGCGTAAAGTGAAAGATTTCACAGCTAACATTTGTCAAAATCTCATTATAGCAAAACCATTATAGCATTATAGCATTTTAGAAAAACCGTGACGTCACCAACCTCGTTTGTTTGTATTTTGATCCGTAAGTTTTGTAAAGTAAGAGGTATCGTTTTAAAGTGAATCTTGACGTTGTTCAATGTCATTTTAAAGTTTTCCTTGAAGATTCATTGAACTAAACTTTCAATTTCAGCTCTGATTTCACGACAACCACTGCTGCCCCAACAACCACTGCTGCCCCAACAACCACTGCTGCCCCAACAACCACTGCTGCCCCAACAACCACTGCTGCCCCAACAACCACTGCTGCCCCAACAACCACCAGTGTCGCCCCTGCGCGATAAACACATCGAAAAGTGAAAGAGCTTTATTAAAAATAAACTTTTGTAGCCTTTTGTCATGTTAAAGTATTTATACTAACACAAAAAAAAGCACAGCTAAATACAGTCGACGCTCGATAAGCCGACTCTCGATATCGATATAACGACTTTCATTTTGCAAATTACTAGAAAGCACTAAGTACTGTCAGTACTAACTAGGAGTTGCCAATGTTTTCAATGCTTAGATTACTAGAAAGTGTAATGAAAATCGCTTACCATGGATAAATAGTGGACCTTTTTCCAACAGCCCTTTCAATTCGGGCAGATCGAGCACACCGTTGACTCTTAACTCATTTTCTATAAACTTTATCGGACCATCGTCCTCCATAGGCTCCTCTCTGCTAGCCATTTCTGATTTAATTGAAGTAGTGAAATATGAATTTATTACAGTATTCCAAGAAGCAAACACATAAATTTTGTACATTTTGTACATTGGTAATTCAAACAATTAGTGAAATGATTTTTCCATCAAGCTTTACCATCAAGTTTCATCCGTCAAATCTCACAGTTGATACATAGGCGTTGTTGATTAAATCGATTTTTCGAAAACATTTCCACGTTGAAAAATAAATTATGTTTCTTGAAAAACTCTACGCGTTTACGAGTTAATTGTCTATTAGTTTGGAGAAGGAAACATCATTCCTTTGATATGTTTACTTCTTTACATCAAGTAAACTCTTACACAAGTTGGCGTCTTATCTCAAATTAGTCAAGGGCAGTTCTTCTGCAAGAACTCGTGCCCAATAAAAAACGGGCAGATCGAGCTTTTTGTCACTTTTTGTAATCACCTGTATTATAAACAAGCTTGGTCCAGATAGTTCACTTTTTTCAACACCTATGTATCTTTATTTTAATATTAGCGTATCGATTAAATACAAGCAGTGTTTGCTTCTTGGAATACTGTAATAAATTCATATCTCACTACTTCAAACAAACTAGAGATGGCTAGCACACAGGATTGTTGTTTGTTTGTTTGTTTGTTTGTTTGTTTGTTTGTTTGTTTGTTTGTTTGTTTGTT